CCCTACACAACCCTGTCCTTCCCAGCCCTTCCCTTCCCTACCCTACCCTACCCTACCCTTCCCTTCCCCTCCCCACCCTACCCTACCCTACCCTACCCTACCCTACCCTACAATACCCTACCCCACTACACCCTACCCTACCCGACTCCACCCTACCCTACCCTACCTACACTACCCTTCCCTTCCCTACCCGACCCTACCCCACCCTACCCTACCCTACCCTACCCTACCCTACCCTAGCCAACCCTACACAACCCTGTCCTCCCCTCCCCTCCCCGCCCCTCCCCTACTCTACCCTACCTTAGCCAACCCTACTCAACCCTGCCCTGCCCTACCCCACCCCACCCACCCCAACCCACCATACCCTACCCAACATCACCCTACCCAACCCAACCCTACACAACCCTGTCCTGTTCTACCCTGCCATGCCCTACCCTACCCTACCCTACCCTACCTACCCCACCCCACTCCACCCTACCCTACCCTACCCTACCCAACTCCACCCTACCCTACCCTACCCTACCTACCCTACCTTACTCCACCCAACCCTACCCTACCTACCCTACCTTACTCCACCCTACCCTACCCTACCCTACCCTACCCCACTCCACCCTACCCTAGCCCACTCCACCCTACGCTACCCTACCCTACCCTACCCTACTCTCTACACCCCTCTACTCTTCTGTTTTACTCCATGACTATGGTTATCAGTTTTTCCTGTATCGATATCTACATGCAGGCAGAGGAAGAGGCTAAGCGCTTAAACAAGCAACTTGAGGAGATAGAAAACGCCTTGGACGCTGCCGAGTCAAAACATGTAGGTTTTTGCTGTAGGTTGCCCACTGGGCAACCTGGTTCAAAAAGGATTTTGTACACTAATGCCTTGTTCATGTGAAGTCACCCAAACCGCGATTCGGGTAACTCACATTCCTCACATCTGGCCCATGTGCCATACAATCCTTGCAAACCGTGTCCGATCACGATTCTCCAAAACGGCATTCATTGTTGTTTGATGAAAACACGCAAGGTAGCGTGTTATTAATGTCAGAGGTCAACGAACTGCTTGCTGGTGCCCCCTCCCAACGTACCTCGGCCAAATGCAGACGTGAAATATCACCCCGTAATCCATGACTGGGTGAAGTCACATTGAAATCATATTGCGTTTAGACGCAAATCGCGATGCGGGAAAACCGATACGAAACCACCTCTCGAAGTGGTTTGGGATCGAGGCGCTTTCAATGTGATTTGGAGTGTTCAGATGGAGCCACTTGAAACCGGCTTCGGGGTAAACCACATGTAAAGCGCCTTCACTGACTTCACATGAACACGGCCTAAGTCGCCGATTGGACGGCGCTCCTACTGTGTTTGAATTGTTGAAGTAGTCCTTAGCACAAGTACTCCTTATTAGAAACTAGATTAGTATCTACATGCATGTAGATTAGATGCATGTAGATACTCTACGTATGGAAAGTTTTCAGTTTATTTTCGCTATTGTTTTATATGATAGAGTTAAGAATTCAATCTCGTTACCATGCAGATGAGCCCGCTAGAACAGGAGTTAACGTTCGGTAAACTAAGACGAAGGAATACAGAGATGGAGTCCGAATATGAAAAGGTAAAACCTTTCACTAAGTAATTTTTCTTATTTGATCGTTTCCGATTTATTTAAAATGCACTTTTAACATACTAGAATATAGCGATTGTCTTAAATTGCTAATGACACCAAAATATGACCTTATCTGATTGTAATTGACATAACTAGTATTACCTGGCTAACAAACACATTTAAAATAAATATGCACGGTTCTCCTGTTACATTCGAAATTCTAATGCCCCGCATTGGAAAAGTTAGCCCAAGCAAGTCCTGGAAGGCGGTTTGCATCTCTACACTTTATTCTTGCATATCTATATTTTTTCCTGAGCTGATATTACCCAGTTATGTCAGCTCAGGAAGAAGCACAGAAATGCAAAAATAAAATATAGAAATGCAAATAGAGATGCCTGAGGCGGGCGAATGGGAAGCTTGCTGGAGAGTCTTCAAAAATCACTTTTAGACGGCCGTACAAGCTCAGTTTCTTAGTCATCATGATTGGAAGAAACATTCAGTGACTATATTGTATGTACACTTCCGATATGTGTATGTATTTTACAGACTTCCTTTGGTGTCATTTCGTCTTTAAACACAACCGGGGAATTCTTCCTACCTGGCTTACGTTTCGATGCCTATCAGACACCTCCCTATGTAGTCTATGTAGGTGGCGCTTCAAACGTGGCTGAAAACATAGCTGTTCTGCTAATCATATGGCTTGATTGGTATAGCAATTACCCTATCCTTAGTACGTTGAAGTCTTGAGTGTTTTTTATAAATATATTGCAACCAAAAGCCAATCCATCTTTCAGGTTCTTCAGGAAATTGAAAAACTTGAATCGGAATTGAAAGAAGAGGAAGAAAAATGCCAAGCAACCGAGACGTAAGTACATTGTATAATGAACGTTTGTAACTTTTACATAATCAAGGAGGCGACATTTATTTTCCGTTGATTTTTTTACTTTATCGTTGGAGAAGAATTTAATGTGTAGCTGAAACCGGTGCAATAACTCAATTGGTAGAGTGCTTGCTTTGTAACCGGGAGGTCGTGAGTTCAAACCCCGGCCGGGTCATTTAATGAGTGTGGGAAGGTCAAACACACAGCACTACTAGCGGACTAGCCCCCTGCTGTAGTGCCTTGCACAACTGTGTGTCGCCCAAGGGCTACAGAAATGTATATGGGCACCACCCTACGCTCTGAATAAGGGCATGGGAGATATTTCTTTCTTTCTTTCTTTTTCTTTCTTTCTTTCTTTCTTTCTTTCTTTCTTTCTTTCTTTCTTTCTTTCTTTCTTTCTTTCTTTCTTTCTTTCTTTCTTTACTGAAACTCACCTTAAAGCATAACTAAAACGTAGAGATCATGAAAGTTAGACCAGTCACTATGGTCTTCCCAATAAAACTTATGACGTGCCTTTTTTTAAATGTGACGTCAACACTGGGTCAAATGTTTCCGGTGAACGATGTCGGCACCCGTCGTGTCCTTAAAATATAGATAGCCTCTTTTACCCTTCGTCTTTCAGGAGAGCCACACAACATGCACGCTAACCCTCAAACTACCAATTTTTTTTTGCTTAAGGTATGGGGTCAAAACTGCCCCCATAATGTTTTGCATGAATATACTATTAATTTGTTGTGACTCTTTTTGGTATTTTTTTAGTATGTATAGTTCATTATTCTATTAGGGACAGATCGATATGATAAGGTGTGAATAATTTCTGCTTATTATCATAATATATGCACCTCTAACAAGATGCCCACAGGCAACCATCTCGATGACCTTTGACCCAAAACCATACGCAATTAGGTCTAGGGTAGTTTTCTGACTTTTTTCTGATTCAACATGTCGAGGTCATTCAAATGGAAGCAGAAAACTCAAGAAACATATATCCAGGAAGAGATATTGACCACAATAAAGGACCTCCATGTGATAAAAAAACAACGCATAAACTTTTTAGAATAACTCAATCAACAATGTTCCGATCTCAGTTTAAGATGTATGAGAAGCTATATGACATATATACATACTCAGAAAATATTTTTTTTTTTGTTTTCGACAAAAATGTAAATATGGCACATATTCATATACGCTTGGGGTCAGTTTTGATCCTATACGGTGGTTTCAGGGTTAAAAACCCACCACACCTTTTAAAAAGAGTATGGGCATGCCCCGGTGCGCGATGGTGCAAATTATACGGTCCAGATAGTGGGGCAGATAACTGAAATAATCTTTCAAATTGTGATACAAGCGCCAAACTTGGTACAAATACTCATGAGACATTACTCTTTTGAAAAATGACGCGGAACCTGCTGCAGTCGTGATTTTTATGTGGTAAAAAGCTGTTAAAGTATGAAAGAAGTGACGTAAATTGGGTGTCTCTAGCAGCTTGCGTTAAAACTGCAGGGGCGTTTTTTGCCGGTGCACAACTTGCTCCAAGTGATTACGCTAGGGGCGCCAAATATCAAATTAGTGCCCTTGGACTTCTTTCATACTTTAACGGATTTTTACCACATAAAAATCATGACTGTAGCATGTTTAGAACAGGAGATACAAAGCCCGGAAGGTCGGCTGCAGTACCAAAAAGCGCCGCTAGGGCGCGCCAAAAGTCAAATCAAGTGGCCCGCGTACTTTTTCAAAAGAGTAATGTCTCATGAGTATTTGTACTAAGTTTGGTGCTTGTATCACAATTTGAAAGATTCGTCTAAAATTCGATGTTATCTGCTCCACTAAGAGTTGGTGAGTCACTAAAATCATTCCAAAGGAGCCTGGTGAACCCCGTCTCGTACTAGCTCTTGATGATAGCCAAATGCTAGTTGGGAAGTCTTGGATGTATACACATCTTTAGCCAAAACGAATACATACATTTTACCCCTCTCAGGAAGTAATCCTATTGCGGTTGTTGAGCTAGCTGTCAGTTCACAAGGACACTTTTAGAATCTCTCGTCTTTGGCTTTGCTTCGCAATGGACACAAAATTGGATCTATATTAAAATTCATTACCCACCATTTGACCGTGACATTCAGCTGAATACGCCGTTTAATTTCAGCACTGACTATAAATGCTACAGATGCATGTGAAAAATTGAAAAGGTTTTTTGGAAAGTTGAAGTAGATTATATTAACACGAATGTTTTTTTATATATTTTTTTTTAAAATCAAACTATGAATTTTGGTGCGAAAATTTTACATAATGGCCCTTTTTAATGTCTCAAAGATTTGCTGTAAACTCCCAGATTTCGTGTTTTGCAAGTGTCTAAGCAAAATTTTGTTTTAATCGAGAAAATAAAAAAAATGTTCCTTCCACAGGCGTGTTAAGGAGTTGGAAAGCGCCATACGTGAGAAACTCGAGAGTAGAATCAAAGAGCTACGTGAGCAACTACACGGTAACTATGTCGCATTTGTTGGTAAAGTGATATGACAATGCTAATCTCCAAGCAAATCGATTCGTTTGGCAAGGTACTATCAAACTGACCACCCTTATTACTACTACCATCCCCACTTAGTTGGGAATTGGATACTGCCTGGCCTATTATATTTGATAACGTCTAGCCTGTTTTATACTGTATCGCAACCACCAAAAGATCTTCTTGGAGATGTTGCTTTGTACGCTGTATCCTTGCATACAAGGATCAACTTGTCCACCTTTCCAGATCATTTGTAAAAATCGAAATATATTTTTCGCGATTCATGTTTTAATGAATAAAATTCAAAACAAGAAAAGAAACTCAATGAAACCTCTACCGGTATGCTATTTATGAAGTTCATGATTCTTTTCGTTTTTTTTTCAGGCAAATGAAATGCAGCTAGCTAACATACATTGTAATGTTACACCAGACCACTCCGACACGATGTCAACATTAAGTGACTTTTTCTCGGCTGTGTGAAAGATTAGGACTCGTTGTGCTTTGGCATGTAAAATGCAGAAATGCAAATCTGCTACTTTGTAACATTTAAGAACTCAAAGACAAAGGTTCATTACCATATCGCTGTATCTTTTTACATATACGTGATTGTACACATCTAGATGTTAGAATCAGAAAGGCTTTTTTAAAGCTAAATAGTCATCGAATGTCCTATATATATTGCGGCTTGGTTCGTCTTTGTGTAGGCATCACTTAATCAATTTTTAAACGTTATCGTATCGCTTGATGATTGTCAAAACAAACATTACCGTATTGCAAGAAAAACAAATTGAAAGAAAATATAGGACTTTACTTGCTGCCTGTCTGTCGAGGTTGAATACTTAATTGTATTTTGGTGTAATGTTAACCAGGTTATTATATCCACGTTTACTAATTAGTAGAAATATTTAAGGGAATTTAAAAAAAAAGACAGTCTAGATGAGAATTTTGTTTCTTTTTTTTAGTGTCGGCCACACTGACTTCATTTTATGGACGACAAGTTGGCACATATGGCTTATCGCGGAATTTCTGAATCGGCACTGTACAATTGTACTGAGTTCTTTAGTTTCGGTAGCCTGGGTGCCCGGCTCCGTATTGTCGCTAACTACCATGGACTACCCAGGCCTAGAGACAGGCCAGAGCCTCGGAGGACGTGATTTTGTTTTTTTTTGTTGAGAAATTTGAGAACAGGCAAAAATCAATGCGCGCGTATGTCATCCATAAAATTTAGTCGATGTGGCTTTACCAGGGGAAAAGGATGACTTGGTGTGAAGGGAATTATTTATGACTTAGGTTGGGCAGAAACCTAGATTTGAGGAAGTTATTAACGATGGTAGGTTTTTAAAAATACGTTATGGGAACGATGTTGGTTGCATGAAAACAGTTTTGAGGTTTTATTTGTACTTTTGTGTATTGCGGTGGATACTAGTCGGACAGATGATCAATAAATGTCATTAATGATATTACACTAACGTGCCTCGTGACTCAATTGCCCATTTTTGAATGCCTACTCGGAAATTGTAGTGAACGTTGGCCCATTGACAGATTGTAGATACACTCTAATAGAACATTCTTTTGACAAAATATTTATACTTAAACACACAACGAAAGTTCAGCTATAATAGAGCATTGTAGCCAAGTAGAATAAAGGTAAAACTATATGAATCAATTGTTTGGGGGCAGTATTAAAGCTAGACAAAAGGAAGAAGTAAGAAGATCCTTTTTTCTCGTGGACTTATAACTTTTTTTACCAGACAACAACAGACCTGAATAGATGAAGCTGTTTAGTCTTTTCCAACTGGATAATTGAAAGTTTAATGTGTAAACGTTTCAAGTACCATCCGGTACTCTTCATCAGTACAAAGTAGAGGAAATTTCCGAACAAGAATTTTAATTCTTAAAAGTTCTAAATAAACAAAAACAATCCATGTTCTAAAGTAGGTTTTAAATAAACAAAAGGTAACTGACAAGTTCTAAGAAACAATCTAAAGGTAAATAAATAAATAAACAAAAGGTAACTACCAAATATATACAAAAAAGGAAGGAAAATAACTAATAAAAACCTAAAGTACGAAAAATTACGAAAAATAATCTAAATAAGATTATTAGCGTTACAGAGCGATGTCCCAAGAGCTTGAAAGATCAAATCTTACCCCCCCCCCTTTCTATTTAAAGATGGCCGAAAAATATGTTCATAGATAGACTCCCTCACCCCCCGTTCAAACCACCTAGATTCACGATCTAAAATGTCAGTGTTATCTATCTGAAAGGAATGTCCATGATTTTTCCGTACTTTAGGTTTTTATTAGTTATTTTCCTTCCTTTTTTGAAAGTGTAGCATTAATTTCATCCTTACCAGGGGCAGCATTTTGAAGATTGTTACTCCGTGAAGGAGGTCAGGACCTCCGAGACGGAGTGTTGTGAACGGCTGGCTTTTCGTGTTCGCAGTCAAAACACTGGGTTCTCTTTGTGTAATCGGCACGCAATTTTATACGCCGTCTACGGGCATGCCCGTGTTGATGCACGAATGTGTATTTTTGCCGTTGCTGCTTTCGCGGTCAATGTAATATTGCAGACGCACCCCTACAATTACGTGGCGAATTGGAATGGTCCAGAAAAACGCGGTTTGGAATAGCAGTGGGGGGTGGAACTTCATGCAGATACGGGGTGGTTTTGATAAGTGGTTCCAGATGTTTTTGCCCAAAGAGATGGCAAGTTTTTTAGAAGATGTTCGCAGCGAAAACGCATTCTTCCGTACGTCGCATTTCTGTGTAATTTCGCATGTGGTGTTGCATTATGTTCGGGATGATGCACGTCTTTTTATTTTTACCGTAGCTGTTTTGATATTGGAGTAAATGCATATTTTAGAAACATCCCTACTTTTACAATCCTGTGGAATAGGCCGTAGGTTTAGGCAGTTGTCTGGTAGCAGAGGTTCTCCAAGCAGATATCCCGGGTATCTGACCGGCGGAAGTAACACTCGCGGTGCTAGCCGCGACTGTTGCTGGAATTTGGCCTGTTCCAGTCGCGCTTAATAAGTAACAGGCACGGTAAGACGGTGTCTTCGTTAATAGTGACACGACCATGATAGTCCGATCTTTATGTGAATGCAATGATTGCGTGTGTGTGTTGAGGCACAGTATCTTTACACGCCCTGGGAGCAGTAATGGATTTAGGTTTTCTTATGTTTTATGGTTGTGACGCACCCTCATTGTATTAACCGTTGCCTAATTATAATGTCTGCACAGTAGGTCTGGCGTTGACCCTTGGGATTGTTTTTGTTAAAATATATAAATCTTCACGGAGGATTGTCACCTATGGCTTCTTGTTAATTACGTCATGAATTTCTGCTGTGCTAGGTGCGCCAAATAAGTTGATGGGAAATCAGCTGCATTCCATGATAGGGCTATGTGACTTGCTTGTGACATATGTACTTTGTACTTAAGAACGAGAGTAACAGAGGCAGATATCGATTATGCAAATGGCGACTTAATTTGTATAATTAGTAACAAAAATTTATAATTTCATATAATCATATGGATATAATCATAGCAATAACTATAATACATTATTCAACAATTAGTATTTAATTTTGATCTTAATATTTAACATCACTACCCAAAACAAAATGATATGAAATAGGTACACGATTTTCTAAATTAAAAAAAAAATCTGGTTGGACCATACAGGAACGCTGCATATACACGCGTCTAGTTGTACTTTAGAGACTAGTAGCTTGGAATGTGTCGTACGTACCAAACTTAGCAACCACTTGATCTATCTGCGTAACCATATCCCGCCTGTCTTTTCGTTGTACACCTTTTCTCTCACGGAAAGTACGTTGAGAAGAACCCTTTACTTTTCTTATTGTCTTTGAGGCGGATTCTCTTAAAAAGTCATTAAACTCTAGCCTTTCTTGGTTTGTGGGTTGATTTTCATCTGCGTACACGTCCATTATGATTGCCATAAACATGCTTAACAAGAAAAACTGCATCATACATTGGTACATGAAAAACAATAAAGGCCCTAGAATTGAATGTCCGTAACTTAAGGTTTCAAAATCAAAGCTACCTAACATCGTCAACAGAAGGCTTTGTAGACTAGATGTTATGTTCTTGTACTCCATGAGCTTGACACCGAGAATCAAGCTTGCCGTCTGGGTAAAAGCCATGATGACGATTCCAGCCGTGAACATGAACTGTGTTACAGGCTTGAGAGATCGTCTCAAGGTCATGGACAAGGCGTACACGTGAGAGTTGAAGCGGAGGATCTGGACGAACTTGAACGTAGAGCAGCAGATGAGAAGGCCCAGAAGGTAGGTGTAGACCTGGTACCAGCTGACGGCGCTTTTGTAACCTGTGAAGGAGGAGTTTCCGGCCGCACGCTGCACTGCGACTTCGTCGATGATACTCTGAGTGTAGAAGTAGACACCGAGAGCGGAGAAGCCAACAGAGATGACAAGAAGCTCTACCCAGCTCCAGAACTCACTCAGATAGTCAAAGGGGCGTGACAACAACGCTTTACCTGGGAAGAAATGATGTCAAAAATGGATTATAGTTAATTTGAAGATCATGACTAAGGTTTTTAATATATGTAACATGTCTTTAAAATTGGAACTTCTACTGTCTTACACTGGGTGACATAAAGGACTATAGATCTACATTATAAGTATCATGTAAATTAGGAACCGATGAAAAATATGCGATTTTCATAATTGATAAGAGGAGATTACATTTAAATTGTGGGAAATGGTTACGTCCTTTTGATGTCAAGAAACGTTTATATTTTGCCGCCCATCTGACTTTAGTGCTCCTACAACTTTGTGCTTTGACGTTTGATACGATTGGACTCACCCTCCTTAAATGCATACACAAGAACCAACAGAACAAAGACTCCTCTCAGAGCGAGAAGCAAGATGGCGTCTCGTTGGATAAGTCTCAAGGTCACGACCTCTGACCCCTTGTAAGTGGCTCCGAGATTGGTGAACTCTACTGCCATGGAAACCACGGAAAACAAGTTGACGTGCGGGTTGTACAGGGTGAGTTCTATAAAAACTGCCCGTGTCTTGTCGTCCAGCCAGTCTAGTCGCTGTAGGTAAGCTGCACGAGCTAAACTGGTTTGTTCAGTTCTTCCCAAAGACGTGACGTAGCCACCGGCTGAGTAGGTGCCATGTTTTCCAAAGTACGGGAAAGCTGTGTAAAGAAACAGTGAAAACAGCGCTGTTTGTTGTAAAATACAGAAAATGCAATGCAGAAACACACGCACCTATTCACACAAAACAAACGTAAAGCATGTTTATAAACACATGTGTATACATCAAAATTTTATTTTAATACATACATTAGAATCATAATGATATGCCTCAACTGCTTCTTTCAAACTATGTTATATCACTAAACATATAAACTTTTATGTTATTTTTAAATAGGGGGAACAAAACATAACAAACTCAACTATAATTTTCAACACAAATTGACGACTATCTGCGTCAATAAATGACCAATAATACAATTAGTCAGGTTTCTTGGCTTTAAAATGAGTTGTCACTGTGGATTGTCCATTCCTTGACTAAGACAAAAGTCGAAATGTTCGATATTAAAAAAAAATACGGTAAACCTTTTCTTCTAAATAATTTTCAATTTTGCGGACACAAAATATTCATTATTATTATGAGAATTGAAGGACATATCTCACCATCGATGACGGGGGCGAACTTGTACCTCCATGGATCCTGTCCACCATCGTCTGCTGACAAACAGTCGTTAAGCTCAAGTGATTCTGTTGCTGTTGAAATGCAAAGAGATTCGCCCGTGGTGTTTGCAGTGGTGTTCCAGCGTTCTGTGTAGTTCTGTGTGTCGGCTAAACCCAGAGAATACACCGGCACACAGCGAGAGGTCACTGTCACCATTCTCTCAGGTGGTTCACAGTGTATCCCTGCAGATAGATGACTCTTATAATTTAATAAAAGTATTTTATTTTGTTCACAATATTGAATAAAAAATCTAAACCACTGTAAAACTTTTCTTGAATTTTTCGCATATCCACTGTTTATCCTGTATACCAACGTTTATTAAATTATTAGATTTAAGTAGAGATAGTAGGTTATTAAGTTGATCGTATACGTAGAACTTCATGTTAGCATATAGTTGTATTTCACTACATTCTGTACTCATTGTTCTTTTCTGTCTGCAATTTGCCTTTGGGCATAGACTTGCAAGAAAGAACTCAATATTTGTGCAAAATTAAAGGTATTTACCTTTTTCGTTGTAACCAGTCTCGTGACCGATATCATTAAACATCCCACTCAACACACGACACCAGCTAAAGGCAGGCTGAAAAGAAGTTTAATTAATTCTTTAAAAAATCAGACTCACCTGGCTTAAGTCGCACCTGTCTCAGCTGCACTGGTCCCAGTGGGTGAGTTAACATGTCATCCAGGACCATGGTCTCCGTGACGCTCCAACCGTTGTACCATCGGGACACATGGGTGGCAGGGATCAACCCGGTTTTCACCCAAGTCCAGAACGAAGGGATGTCTTCGATCTGGCAGAGCAAACAAGAAATCGGAGATTTAAAACTTCATTGGAGTAGTTAAGGTTTGCGTTGATAAGTTACACTATATTTATTTTGTTATTTTATAAGAATGTCAAACATCTCAATATACAATGAGTGCCTTGGAATCCATGTCTGATATTGGGCTCCACATACACACGGACATGTACATAGGAACATATACATACAGCCGTATACAAGTTAAACTATAGAATTGATCATGGCTAATGGAGTTCTATGACGCCATCTCTGAATGGTTTTATACCATGATACCATTGTACATATTCCTTGCGTCTTTAAAAATCAAAGCCTACCACCCAGGGCATCAACAGAAACCCCAAATCTACCCACTTCAACCCTGCTGTTACGGATAAAAAATATCAGCAAAACTAGTACCATGTTTATGTATATATATATATATGTTATAGAATGTAGTATAATTTTAGACATTGTATTTTCTTTTTTCATACATGTTGTTTGTACCTGCAACTAGCTGTAGCCCTCGGTCATTTATTTGCAATAAACTCCCAGCCCCAAACCAGTGCCACAATTTTTTTTTTCTTTTCGGCATGAAAGTATCACATGAAAAAAAAAAGCCATGTCATTACCTCTGAGAAACTGATGTCGCCACTCTCAAGAATAAGCCCCTGCACATCCTTCGTCACGTAGAAAGCCAAGGGGCTTCTTTCTCCGTACGACGTCAACATAATCACGGTCAAGAATAGTCCAAACATCAACACCTCAACTATCTGTTTACGTCTCCTGCGTTTCTGTGTGTTCTGAGCGCGTTGTACGGCTAGTGCGGATTCATCGGGTGGAGAGTCAGAATGCACCATTCCAGGCGTCTATGAGGACAAGTGGATAAAGAATAAGGCCACACCGTCTTCATTTCATGGATGGAATCCTCTGAAGACCCCCGGCCCCAAACTAGTGCGCGCGGGCGAATAAAAAAAATAAACTAAATATACGCTAGTACGCTAGTATACTACTAAATACAAACTTTGCTGTTATTGTGAATTTGATGCAGTACATAGCGACGAATACGGTACGCCGGCACATGCGGGCTTTTTTGGAATTTATGAGTCGACACTGTACGTATGTACTGACTTCTTGATACGTTGGAGCTTCGGTATAGCCTGGGTGACATCCTCCAGAGTCACAACCGGCTCCATATTGTCGCTATCTACCTTGGAATACCCAGGCCAGAGCCTCTGATGACGTGATTTTTTTGAGAACAGGAGAAAATCAATGCGCGTGCGGATGTCATCCATAAAATTAAGTCAGTGTGGCCTAATAACATAAAATGCTATGCTTGCAATAAGGTGGCCAGAGGCTAATATGTGAAGAGTTCCTTATTTGGCGTTGGTGTGATGACAAATTTGTAACCGGTACGATGTTGACTTGAATTCGGCTAATGCTAACACAGCAGATAAAACAGCAGTGCTTTGACACATATTACCGGCATGATGTTATACTTGAGCCAAGATACAAATTCAAATACTTCGTACTAACCAACAGTCAAACACACATCGATCACAAACACACACTACATCGATCTTGATAGTTTGCGTGAAGATGAAAAAAAAATGCGTTTAGAAAATAAGAAAATACCTTTTGACTTGTAAATTGGCGAGTTTCATCCTTCTCTGCCCACATATAACGCATCCACCCTGTTGCCGTTGACCATTGTCGGTTTTCCACCATCTGCATGGCATAATTATAGGAAAGACGGCAATCAGTAATGACACAGTTTTACCCCTTATCAATACTGCAAGACTAACAAAAAAAAGCATAACTGGAAAAATTGCGCTGTAAAATATGAATTTTCAAACAATGGCGTCTACTGTACATGTATAGTCTATTCATATGTATCTATAAAATGTAGATTGGTCAAGGTACCTATAAAAATTAATTAATTCAATAAAAAACCGTACCCGTGTGTTATCCAGGAGGTAATCTTCATCAATGTGTAATGGGGCAGGCTCGGGGTCGTCATCTTCAATAGGTTCCTGTAGTTGTGGAACAAAAATCACAATCTGTAATAAAATTACTATCGGCGATAACCATTACAATGCTACAATTGGTTAAAGGCCCAAGTTGGATTGAACTGATAGCTTTTTGAAGCACACACAAAAATATCTATGGCCTTCCCGAAACAGCTTCCCCAAACCAAAGAAAGAATCAGAGTTTTGGGAATTTCTCGTTTTCTTACAATATCTGTAAATTCCTCTGCCCACCTAAACAAATGTTTCTTATTAAAGTATCGCTGTCATATTGCTGAATATGCGAATACCATCTTCGAGTTAGATATAACATTTTAAGTGTCAAAAATTTAAAAATGAATGAAAATCAACAATTCAAATACAACAATTTAAAAGCAAAGAAGAAGCAATTTAAAGATATTAGTGATGTAATATGATATTGATGAATGTGATGTAACGGTTTATCATCTATTTACACATGTAATCTATACTCAAGTCAATAAAGAACAGAAATGCAAAAAAAAAAAATATTAGTGAAAAACACATTGTACGAATTTTAATTCGAACCCAGGTCAAAAAAGTCTAGTCTAACACTAACCTACCCCTCTACACCACGAAACATCACGGTAAGGAGGGAGTGTTCTGATACATTCCAGTTTACCCTTCTCTGACATGGTATCGGTTCAAATGACAACAGCAGACTAAAAGAGCTAGCTCAGCCATCTAAAAATCCTTACGTTCCCGAGGGTAACAATATGATGATACCTCAATTCTCATTAAATCTGGGGTATAACGATGAACAGTACCTTGACTAATAAGGCAAACAACATGGCGACCAACAGTAGCTTGAACGGCTGCACCAGGAACAGGTCGGTGAGGAATGACGTCAGAAAAGTGAAGAGCCACGCCTCCGCCTTTGCACGTCCGAAACTCAGGGAGTACAGGACGGTGAAGAACGCAGCCACGAAGCTCGCGGACCAGACAATCAGCCAGGCTGACGGAAAGAATTGCAATTGTCGTTGTGAGAAAAAAATTCTAGGTTGTAGAGATCAATTGATTCACAACTACATGGCAAGAATAATCGTTTTTACTGTAAAAGTCCTATTTTGAAGTAAATACTTATCAACTGTAGAAAAATATAAATTTAATAAAGATCCAAGGGCAAGCTTTGAAGTATTGCGACAGATCAGGGTCATCAAATCTCCAAATTTTCATCTAGTCTCTCATTCTCAAAGTAACAAAAAGTTATTCAAAAAACAGAACTATAAGTACGTTTTTTGTTTGTCTATTGAGATCTCCATTAGTATGGTAAACTCCATACTATTCTTCCTGGAGTTCAGGAAGATAAAATAAAATGATAATAATAATAATAATTACTTTAGCAATAATGATAATACATGTAAATAAAACATACAAATTATGCTGAAATTATGCTGACAAATTTGAAACAAATTCAGCATAGAGAAATAAAAGTGCATTGGAGATCAGAGGTCCAATACTAGTAATAGAAATAATGTGTCTGAAATGAAAGTAATAATTTGTAGTAGAAAGTGGCATTAATTAAGTTCAGGTAATGCCCATTACATAATTTTTTGTATTAGTGCTAGTCATGCTACCACTGACTACATGTACATGATGATCATGCCTCTAACAATCCTTCCACTGTTCATGCTCAAGTAACTCTACTTTCTATTACACGTTACATAGCGAGACATGTTCAGCATTACAAAAACGCAGATACATGTATTTTTATTATGAATACAAAAAAACGACCATTATAGTGATCTTGAATAGAATTTTTTTGACTATGTAATCGCAACATACCGAAGTAAACAGCCCACCACGGAATGGCTGGTGTTCCCGTCTTTCTGAAGTCATCCGTTTCCTTATCGGTGGTGATTTTCTTCTTAATATTTTCAAAGAACAGACGGATCGGTCCTGTATAGGTACGTGATGGAGAATGATTTTGTAATTTAGCATCATTTTCCTCCCTGTGCCAAAATGACGGAGTGTCAACGCCACTGTCATACGAAACAACTGTGCGAGTTTTATTTGCTGATTTCTTATGTGGCAGATACTTAGCCAGATTGTGTAAAGGCACATTGTTGCCCGAGTTTTCCTTTTGCTTCTTTGCGGGTCGGGAGTCAGAATTTCTGAAGAGGAACACGATGAGTAGGTTGACAGGCAGGATGATGGCAGCGCTTTGTAGACCTATCATGATCTGGAACAGTCATTAAAAAATTCAGCAGGTTTGTAGAGCATATGTTATGGGGATTCTTGTGTGCGAAACGTAAGGAAGGTAATAAGAATCCATGCTATGTAGTAGAAAACCCCAATAACATATAAGATCTGGGAGTGTTACAGGATTGGTTGTTTTATCGATTGTTCCATTAATTGATTAACTAATTGAATAATTTATTGTTTTATTGGTTAATTCAAAATTCTGTGTGTGTGTGAGCGTGCGTGTCATAATTCATTTAGTCAGGCATCCAGTCATTTTAGTCAATCAGTGATAAGCAGAATATAAAAAGGATGTTCCACAAACCTGCGGTAAGGAAAGAGGTGGGTTGATCTCCACCCCGGCGAATCTGAGTGGTTCCGGCGGGTCGAAGTCGTCCCCGCGGCCGAAGAACATGATGTTGGTGATCATGGTGCTGTAGAGCAGCGTCAGGCAGCAGGACAGGCGCTGGACTCGGGTGAACGGGCTTCGTGCCGGGCGGCCCGCCACGGAGAACCACAGGTGGCCGTCGTTCATGTCCCTGTTATGTAAAAGTGGCAATTGGAATCTTTTACAACCAGAACAAAGAAAAAAAAAACATCTGAGCTGAAGCAAGGCAGTTAAAAAAAGTGAATCGTTCCTTTGCTTTCCATCATTTTTGGTTGAGCCCTCTGAAAAGAAATAAAAAGAAATTAAACTAAAACAAGGCCTGTAAGCCTTTAAGCAATTAAAGACAGAAGACAAGAACTACTAACTTCCTAAAACAAACAAACAAACAAACAAACAAAATGATAAAGTCATTACAATGATAAAGCTCCATGGGTAAGGTAGTATGAATCCATAAATAAAGTTTCGTATAACAAAGTTAAGCTAGAACATCTATATTAAGTTGTTACCTCGAGCTTTTTGCCAGAAATAAGAGGCGAAATTCCTTCATCTCATCCGGTCCAGATTCAGGCAGCAGCCGATAAACCTTCCCGTCATCCTCGTCGGTAGCAAACCATCTGTAGAAGGGAATCATCATTTTTTAATTAAAAAAGTAATCTTTTGTTTCTTTTGTTTGATTTTGTTTCTCTAATGAAATGAATAAAAAATGAACTAAAAAAGTAATCTTTTGAAGAAATATTATCTGTTAGTTTTATATTTACACAATATTTTTTTCTATTTTCGTTTTCAGTGTGACAGTCAGCATTTATTGAAAATATAGTCAGAGCAAATTAAATTGAAAATTACGTAACCACATTCAGTGTAGTTACAATAAAGTGAATTGAGAGTGGAAGGAATTGTCCAGAAATTTAAAATAATAAAAAATAAATTGAAAAAATAACGGAGAAGAGAATTGCTTATGTTTTGTCTCCATATGTATGTCTATGTCCTTGTGCAAGGATTTCAAACGTCTGGAAGAAGAAGAATAAAAGTCGATAAACAGGATGATGAAAGTGTAAGTGTAAAATGTAACTGCCCATGCAATCATTTCTTTTTTAATAAAAACCGAGCCCGTATTTTTTCGAAGGGAACTTTTTAGTAAAATGCACTGTAAATATATGTTCAGTTACCTGTTGCAGAGAAAAATGTGCGGCTTGTTGTTCGCTCTGTTAGTCACTACAATTTGACTAAGGAACCTGAAAAAAAGTATCTAGTTTATCGTCTTATATAAGTGCGATAGACTAGGTTTTATACAATACAATACAATATACAATATAGAAAATATACAAAATACAATACAATATACCAAAAAATGCATAGCCGCAATATCACCACATACCAAAGGTTATACACACACTCACACACACACAAGCACACACACACACACACACACACACACACACACACACACACACACACACACACACACACACACACACACAAGCACACACACATACACACAAAAAATCAAGACAGTTAAACTAAAAGTGAAAGTGATCTCGAACCAGTTTAGCTCAATGAAGAGCTAATCTTCCACTGGTCGTGACAGAGAAGACAGACGCTATGTACAGTATTTACAGGTTCGTTGTACCGTGGAAATTCCCCCAGCTCTTTTCGACAAGCACAATGAACAGTGAACCACGGCTTAACTGCCGTCCTAAGGACTGCGATGCTAAACAGTAGAGTGCATGTCGGGTGAGCGACAACACCCGGGATTCGAACTACCAACCTCTCAGTCCAGAGGCAGGATCGCTAACCACTGGACTACGCACGCTACTTACACGGATTAACAGAGAGAGAGAGAGAGAGAATAGGGAGGAAAGGCAAGGAAAGAATATTATATAGTCGAAACGAGCTCACCATGCAGGGCTGTACCCTGCATTGTTGTGCCACACACGTAGGTAAATCAGATCTCCAAGTGGCTCTGATGTCGACACGAGAAAGGAGTCCACGCTGCCCTTCTCAAAAGTTATTCTCCTTGAGTCACTCAGTGTGAAGGGAGGACTTTCCCTGTCTTGGCTGTAAAGCACGATGGTAACCTGAAAAAAAATCCAAAGATTTAACACAAAAGAAAAAGAACAGAAAGTGTAACACGTTTATTTTTACATGTTACGTCACTGACGCAAAAATTGTCATGATTCATCCGACTAGTTTACGTTACACTATTTATATTTTTCACATATTTTCCACGCTGCCCTTCTCAAAAGTTATTCTTGTCGAGTCGCTCAGTGTGTAAGGAGGACTTTTCTTGTCTTGACTGTAAAGCACAATTGTAACCTAACGGTAAAGAAATAAATCTCCACAGATTTAAGACGCCTATAAAACATTACAACTGTAGAATATTGGGAGATTCAATAAGTCGTTCATGTACAGATTAACACTATTTTACATACACTGTGATAAAGTCTAACCCACCTCTGCAGTTGTCCCAGCATTCCCCTTGAATCCAGTGTAAACAGTGATGACGTATTGACAATCCTTTCTGGGGTTCAGTCTGTGTCCGGGTAGGATTCCAACTCCAACCTGATACGGAAGAAATCCATTAAAATCAAAATTAAGCAACTCCTTTCTTATGATGTCAACAAAGTTTTCAACACAACGCAACACAACGTATTTCAAGAAAAGCTCTTTAGGGGACAAACATGTTATTACAGTGACCTTTTCAACACCCAAAACCATGCCCATAACTTTAGATTATTGCTTGACTTGCGTTTAGGACTATACTTTTTACACCTTGACACTACGGACATTTTTAACCGATATATCCTGTTTAAAACGAAATTTTGTAAAATTTGTTCATTATTTCTGTCCCTTTCTAATAAGTTTTGTCCGTTTCATATTTGTTTATTTTTGTCTCTTTTAATAGAAGTGGGTTGTTAACACAATGTGTCGAGGGTCTGGTAGTTGAAGCAGAACCTCATCAATTTCATTTACCGCATTTCACGTACTCAACCACGTTAACACCTCGCCATCCTTGCCATTCGGCCATTTGACACAACTTATCATTTCTCCAACAGTTTCTTCAAAGAATGTAACTTCTAAATAATGTGTTAAAGATGTCATACATTGAACTTGCTACAGTACTTGTGCAATTCTTCTTTTTTATGGGTACCTGAATTCAAAACTTCCTTTCCCCTACCTTGGCTAAGTCCCTTCTGTCCTGTTTTCTTGTCCACACAAGCCCCATGAAGTACATGCCGAGCACAGTAAGTACGAGGATGAGCCCTGCTGGGTTCTCTAGAACGTTGGCAGACAGCGCCGCAGCGATGTTGAGAGGGTTCGGGGTAACGAAGCCGCTAAACTTTGTCAGATGGTCGCATCGGCAGTGGATGTGGCTGGCATTGGACATCATCCCTGCCTACGATAGCGTGTTGGTAAAAAAAAAAAATTCTGGACTAAACTGTACAAAACCAAAAAAATCAGACTTTCGAATTGATGTTTTGGTAAGGAATACTATAAAAGGCCACTTAAGTAGCGTCACGTTATCCAGATGAAACCACCCATTAACAAAGAGGGGGGACGCTATAAACTTTTTGCAAGTTGAGATCAATTGCTTCCTGAATCAAGGGGCCTATCTGCATAACATGACGTTACAGAAGTGGTGAAATTCGCATGGCTAAAGGAATTTTATCCCAAACAAATCGGTATCTCACCTTACAACCATCACTGTGCCACAAGTGGACAATCTCGTCAAAATAAACACAGGACGTCTCGAAAATGTGCAGAGTGAAGTCTACAATCTGTCCGGTACTTAGGCTCTGCTCAGAGCCCAATTGCACTCCTGACAAAAGAATGCAAAAAAAATATGGCAAATACATACTTCATGCTTCTAAAAAGCTTTTTACTGGTCAAACTTTGGATTCACAGGTCTTTAAATTCGTATAACTCTTTAAAAGATGAATAAAACAGTCGAACAATAGTTAAATTATTGACTGGCAACTAATGTTAACTAATTACCGAGAAAGTAGTTCGTCATGTTTTCCACGTCATTATTCGTGATTTCGATTTCCTCCGGGGTCAACAGCCAATGGTAGGGGTTGGATGTCAGGACTGTTCCATTTATCCACGGGATGGACACAATCTGGGTGTAACAGACAGTTACCATATATGGAAATAGCTCATGAAAGTATGAACATTGAACACATCTGGCTAACCGTTGAGAGCAGATCAGCCAGCTACATCCGTACTCTGGATCTAAATGTGTGCTTATATACTAATTTAAAGCTGATAATAAGCTTGTTATATTGCAAAACATTCAGACGTTAAAACAACGATCCTTACGTGTCAATTATAGCATACAGCTTTGTACGCCAAAAGTTGGTTACTCAAGCAACTGGATGTGATTTTGGAAACGGTCATACGTTTCAGAGAGCATCCACTAGCTTTCGTCAGTGACTGAGAGACCAGAGGTGAAATGTAGGTTTAAAAGCACGAACTATTAATTGATGTGCAAATAAGTAAAGACAATTTTTTGGAAGTCTAAAAAGAAAAGAAAGTTAGACAAGCCAAGACTAGATGATTGAAATAAGTCAAAAGCTTTATGTTGATATATGAAATTATTGGTTAGAGTTGTACGTAATGCACCCGCACGTTACCTTTTCATCAGGAACAGGCAGGGTGGTGGTCCAGTTGTAGTCCTCAGGAGTCGGCGGCGTCTCCTTGCGGAGAAACAAGGTGATGTTTTGCAACATAAAGGCGCTGTTGTAGTCAAAGCTGAAGCTTAATGCCGACTGATTTTTCTTCACAAAGAACTTGAAATACTGTAACATGAGGTTAAAAACATTTTAGAATAGTTCAGAAAAGTTATATTTTAGCTTAAACCTGCCCAAATCAAGCTATAATTGTATAAAGTAAAGGTTAATTGCAAGAAAGCATGGACAAAAGAACATTAGTATGGTAAAATGTACTTAATAGGACTCAATTGTCTGGAATTATGTCTAAGACACATTTTGTGCGTTGTCGTGAAACGACCAATTTGTGATAAAGTGTAAATTAAGGAAAAAATTAATTCAAATTAAATTCCATAAATTAAGATGTGCGAATAGTACAAAAATGTGTCCCATATAAAACTTTACAAAAGTCGTTCAAATCTCGGCAAAAAGTATTTAGGATACTTTTCAGAGGATGAGAGAGAAACGTAAAGGTAAACATTCCGTATTTGCTTGCAAAGGTAGCTAATAGTATAAAGATACATAGTGATTATCATCAACTTAAATGAATTTGAGTTACTCACAGTTAGACTACCAAGAGGTTCAGACGCCTTGAAAACATACATCGAGTTTTCAAGACTTCCGTTTTTCCGGCTAGTTAAGATGTCGTTTGGCTGACTCAGTCCGGAAACCGGAATTGTGACGTTTCCACACTTGACGTGAAGGCCCGTGACGTCAGCACGGATGATGCGGGAGTTGTTGGAATATTCGAACGGGTTGAAGTTGGACTCCAGAAACTGGAAAATAGCAGGAACATTGAGGAGCATTGTCATATATAGAATGACCATTTTTTTAAATGCCAATACACTTTTCACTGCATGCACATTAAGATAAAGCGAACGAAGCTAGAAAAGATTGTCACCAGGCTATCTTCAATGTACACAGTCATGTAAATTAACAAATGCTTAGCGTAAAAAAAAAGAGAAAATGTAGATTTTAGACTTTTAGAAAGCGTTAGGATTTTGTGAGTGTTTTTGGAAATGCATCATATGATCATGGGAAAATACCAGATTTTATATGTTAGAATAGATTGATACTCGTTTCATTGCATGACGTAACTGTATTACATCCTGGTATATGTTTCACACCACTATTACACAGTTCCATCAAAAACAGAACCACCAAAAACAATACTTCCAGTAAAAGTGAATCGAAAAAAATTAAAGATTACGACAATCACCTGGACGCCAACTGTGTCCTCCGAACAGGCAACGTCGAGGAGAGAAGAAAAAGACGGAACCCGAACGAGGGAGTTGCTCCTTCCGCCCGTCCCGCCGACAGTGTACACTTTCTCTGAGGGGTCGTCCTGACGTTCCCGCTGAATTCTGACTTGTACCTAAATGGGTACAGCAGCTCTGTTACCATGGCAATCAGAAATAACAGACTTTGACCCCTTACCCAAGGTCAAACAACCTTCCCACCCCACACGTACAGAAATAGGGGCACTAAGAATGTGTAACGATGCTAGATTAAGTACTATTACAGACATCACAAAAACAGACACGCGCGCACACATCCGCACAAACAAACAAACACACAAACATACACAAACACGCAACTTACAATGCTTATTCTTACATATACAAAACTGATGTTTTACGCCTATAATAAAGGCGGTTTACCGGTCATGCAAAACAATCAATCAAACAAACAAACAAACAGACAAGGTGAGTTTGCTCGTATTTTGTACTCTTAGCCAAATTAACATCTTATGAAAAATGTATCACCCGCATTCGTTTTTTTTTTTTTGTTAGAAAGTTTTAGTACAAAAATAATGTAAAGTATACCGTTGACATGGCAACGTCGGCGAACAGCGGCTCTTGGTTCGGATACTCCGGCATCCTGTTGATCAGGTAGATCTCGTCCAGAACATCCAGGGCATTGAAACCGATCGTAGTGGCTTCCCGGTTCTATTACAGGGTGTGACAAGTCATTTTGTTCATACTTTTTAAAATACGTGATTAACCGATGATGATAAGTGCTTGAAAAGTAAGGTAATTCCTTGAGCGATCACCGTTCGTATAGTAACCATTAGATTTCACTTTTAGTGGAGTGAGCCCTATTGTCTTACTCTAAATGTTATGCTACCTGTTGCTAAAATATGGTAGATAGAGGGACAAACATTTTACATACTATTAGATTTTGTTTTACCATAGTGACAGTTACCATGCTGTAACTTTGCGGCAAAATGTTCTCTCTTCGACCAAACTCCCTTGGCATGCTATCTCTCTATTTGGCCGATTTCTACTCTTTTCAGTCTGGTAGAGGCTATCCTGAGTGTGGCATTTAATACTAGGAATACGTACACTAGTGCACATCAACTAATTGTTTGGGTGCAGAAGGAATATTTTTGTATAAACGTATAAGAATAAATTATGTTATGGTTTAATTTCTACATGCTGTCTTATTGTTCTTATCAACCTCTGTTTGCAATCAGCTCTAGGGCATGAACTTGCAATGAACAAATTAAATCAATAAAGTAGATTGTCAGTAAAACCTGATAAAACCTTAGCTGCCTTTCTTTGGAGCTTGCAAGTGATATCTTATATCTTATACAAAACCACACAGTAGAGTTATTTAAGTGTGTTCTATACTCACATATTGTAGGTTGTCAGTAAATGACCCCTTCTCTAGATGTTCTGATAGAGCCATTCTTTCAGAAGCTTTGAAAACATTTACAACACCTAGGAAACATAATACACGATACAGTACGTGATACATGTAGACGTTATAAAGTGACATCAAATGATCAATGATAAAAAAAAACTAACAAAAATTTTAAAACTTCGCAAAGATTCTTGATTCTTGAAAAAAAAATCTGCGTGTATATATTAACTCTATAAAATAATCAATGATATTATGTAAATAAGTTTCTTTTTTATTTATCTCAATATATTTACAAATTCTACGTTCAGACGTGGAATCAAAATTCTTATATTCCGTTGAGGATTGATGATTTTTGTAAATTCCTGTTGTATTCATTATTGCAAATGTTTTGGGAATCCTGTCTGATGGTATCCACATTAAGACAACAGACATACATATAAAAGGCGATTGAAGACACAGAATCATAAAACATTTTGTAACTTTTCTGTCTGTGTTACCAACGCACTCATCATTTTAACCCTACCTAGACCGGGGGGGGGGGGCTAAAAGTGCCCGCGGCAACTTTGATGTCACCTAGCGTCTGAACGGCTAGCCGTAGAACGACCAAACTTGGTGACTTTTCCTAAAATATTGTTGGCAACAATTCTCTATCATTGGAATAAGATAATAGTTTTTTGTGTTGCCATGGCAACGGGTTTCTGACAGGAATTTTTTGCTAAATTTAGTACTTTTTGTTTCAACAATAGAATTTTATGGGTTTTATGTCAAGTTACTCATGGTTTCTAATATTAATAACATCCCATATAATTCTATATAAATTTTATCATTAAATATGCATAATTTATGCTAATTTGATGACGTCATTGGCCAAAATCCAAGATGGCGAACCCTATCATTAGAGCAGGTATATACGGTTTTTTTCATTAAAATTTCATCAATACTTCCATTTCTTTTTGCAAAAAAGGTTTGAATGAAGGTGTTTAGTATGTTTACAATGTATTTTAGGCTTTATCATGAAAAAAAAAAACTATTTTTGAAAATTCAAGATTGATGATCCAATATGGCGGATATCTTAAATATGCATGACGTCATTTTATGACGTCACCGGTGTTGCTATGGGCAACATAAGACTAAGTACACACTAATATTCTGTCATAAACACTTTTGGTAAAGTTATGTTGTATACCAGGGAGGTTTTCAGGGAAAAACCTGTTTAGACGGTTTTGGCTAATAAAATCACATTAATGACGTCATAATGACGTCATATTACGTCATAACGACATAAAAATTGTAGATATGATAAATTTTGACTAGTACACCATTCTCTGAAAATTTGGTGGTCATACGACATACCGTTCGCGAGTTCTTAGGGGGGGGACAAAAGACGCCCCCCCCCCGGTCCCCCCATGTCAAAAAAAGCCCGGTCTAGGTAGGGTTAAAGCAATATGGGAACACAACCAAATACACAGGCACAACCTACGTGTACATTGGTAAAATAAGTATAGTGAGATAAATACCGTAAATTAAAAAAAAATCACTAACTAACCCAATTACTAACCGGTAAAAATGAGGGCTGCTGCTTTGTTAACTTCCTCTGTCGTCATTCCAGTGGCATTTGCCGACAGCTTTCTTGTGTTCTTGAAACATTCATACAGCAACTTGGCAGACAACACCTTAAAATGATTAAAATCACGTACCATTCATTAGAACTATGCAAACTTAAAGTTAAATCAACTCTAATGCATTGCAACTAAATTCTTTTCAGGAAGTTGAGGAGCCAAAATATGACCATTTATATTTACGATTGTTTACAAAAATTTAAAACACAGCTGCACGCTATGCTTCTCTACATTCTGGTAGTTTGTGTTGGTACCAAACTTAATGTGCCTTGTGTGCGCTGTTTATGTGACAGTCAATTGCAAACTTGTGAGATAAGTGTTTGAATTACAGTGCCACTAAGACGGTGATCCTTAAGAAACTAAAGTTTACTTTCTGTCGCCTTTGAGTTTAGAAAATTACAGGTAAAATATGATGCATAATGCTGAAGTAAGATTTAAAACACATACAAAGATGTTTTAAAATCTTTGACCAATATGTAAATTTTTGGGTAACTTGAGGAACAGTTATTCGCTTGAAAAATGAAATATTTTTTTTTACATCATGAGGATGCATCACAACATTCCCTACACTAGCTGTAATATATTGCTGCATGTCTAAATATCTCGTACCTAGAGTGCTACACTTTTTTAATCCCTTTTTAAGCGGTGCATATACAATGTATGTAACAGGGTGGGAAATGTTAATTCTGAACCAATTATAATCTGACCTGGGTCTTTCCTGACACCATCTCGGGAAGAGCGGTCAGCATCAGCAGGGACAGAGACATGCCGTTTACAGTCTCCATGTCCTGTATGTTCTGTACCTTGGAGAGTCCTGCCACCATCATGTCCACTGTCTACACACATTAAGAAAATCATCAGGTAAAATGGTCTTGTTTGGTCAATTTTTCCATAGCGTAAACTAGAATTCAGATACGGTGTTTTAAGTTTTTAGAATTGAATTAAACCGCAGTATGTTTTTGTCAAACACACCAATTGAATTACATGAAAAAATGTATTTACTTATATAATTAAATGGTTTACAATAATTACACAGTACACGTTCCTGGTCATATTATTCCACAGTGTTAACACACCCTATTACCCATGGGAATATCGGTTTATAGTCCTGCCAATCAACTAACAACTTCTCCACCCACTCATGCCAGTGGGCCTAGTAAAATGCTAAAATGTAAACAGACAAAACATTCCAATGGCTACACTGACTAATTTCTTAATTTTATGGATGACATCCGCGCAGGCATTTCTTTTCGCTTGTTCTAAAAAAAAGATCACGTCCACCAAAGGCTCCGGCCCGGCCTTAGGTCTGAGTAGTCCATGGTAGTTAGCGACAATACGGAGCCGAGCACCCATGCAGGCTACCGAAGATCCGTACATAAGTACAGTGCCGGCTTGTCGTATATGTTGCTAAGTACTGCCGCAAATTCACGCAAATACCAGCTTTGTATTCCTATGGTTTAGTGGCATTTTTATTTTTGTCAGAAATGTTTTTATTCGCCCGCGCGCACTAGTTTGGGGGTCTTCAGAGGATGTCATCCATAAAATCACTTCGGTGTAGCCTAATCACCTCTGTTATATCCTCGCCACTAGCTGCTATGTGACTCGCAGCGAAGGACGCGATGGCAGAACCGAGAAAAGCCGTGCGTGTTTCTCCCCTCTGGATCAGACTGAAGAACGTGCCGGCCGGGTAGGTCATGAATCCATCCAAATACACCTGCAGCTGCCCCATTGTCGGTAGTTTTATCTGCAGGCAGAGAAAAGTACGATAATTATTTCACCAAGCCAGTCCAATGTTTATTTATCATATTTATTTCTGTTTTCTTTATACAGGGTAGGCGCACTCAGTACAATATACTGCTTTACAGGTGTGCCCTGTACAGATAGACATAAACACCAACAACAGTAAACAAAATAACCAAAAGTAACGTATATATACACACATGACCCCAGGAAGAATAGTGCTTTTAAGCACTAATGGGGATCGAAATAAACAAACAAACAAACAAACAAACAACCGAGTATCAAAATCAATGGATCAGACTGGGTCGAGAGATCAGAGGTCAGCAATGATGTTTTATCAGCTTCTTGAAAGAGTGGCCACATGTGACCACCCTAAAAGTACCAGGCAACTCATTCCATGCAGTTAAATGAGTTGCCTGTTATGATGTTCTTACAGAAAAAAAAACTTAAAAAATTGAAAAAGGGCCATGGTTTATTCTGCCTCTTTTTTCATCTCGAAATTTCAGAGAACCATCTAAATGACCCGGTCTAACAAAATCTTACTTTATTTTTCAATGAATATTATATTTAACGATAAACCTCTCCTGTTGTGGATACTTGCCTGAAAGTTTTTCTGTCTTGACATTTTGATAAATTGGATCTACTCGTAACAAAGGGACTTCTGGACATGTTCCCTAAGAAACTTCGTATAATACGTGTCTGACCTTTGGACCACAAGCATACACACGAATCCCACAAACAAACAACACAATAAAATTATTAAATCGTAATCGGTACATATGTAGAATATGTAGAATAAGGAAAGGTAAACCCACCAGTGCAGGTTCCATATCAAATTCAATGAAGCGACCATCAGGTGACCCAAAGCGCACATGTAAACTCACGATTCCAGATGGAAGATCAAATATGTCTGTATATCGAACCTAAAATATAAGATCATTAGTGTTTACCTCAGAAATTTCATATAAAGCAGTTTTTCCGTGTGACTGCTAGTACTTTAGAATTAATTAAAATTCTTTTTGAGGCAAGGTTACCATCGCCAAGGAGGTTGTTTTAACGATGTTCCCGTGTTTGTGTGTTTGTGTGTGTGTGTGTGTGTGTGTGTGTGTGTGTGTGTGTTTGTGTGTGTGTGTGTGTGTGTGTTTGTGTGTGTGTGTGTATGTAAACAAACATCGGGTGTACATGGGTTGTTTTGATATTTGGTCGGTGGGTAGATCTTAATGAGCCAATTATATATTTCTTTTATTTATTTATCTTATTTATTTATTGCAATTCTCCATAAGCACATGTATGTGAAAGGCTTGGCTGAATAGGTGGACTTAAGTACATTTCATTAATTGATTCATGATGTGCATGGAAATAATATCAATCAGGATCTTATTTCCAAAATTACTGACAAACATAATTCGTCAGTTCATTTTTATATAGCCGGCCCAACGTAATACCTACTTTACTGAATATGTTTCATTGGAGATGCACAAAAATCCTGGTATTAGCCATCCTATGGATTTCAAATGAAGCAAACCTAAATGGCTTTACTGTAAGACCTAGAATGAAGTAACTATATAGTTAACTCACCCATCCGGTAAACGTTTTTAGGACAACTTCATTCAGTGTAGGCTCCTGGTGTCCAGGAAACGTCACCGTGGCGATTTCAGCTAACGGTTCCAGCTCAAACGTCACCTGCGTCTCCAGCGGGCCAAGTAGATCAACAAATTCTAAAGGAGGAACAAGAATTCTAGGTTTCAGAGATTTTTTACATTTAGGAAATGCTGGGATTTTTTAAAATTTCTCATTATTATGTAGGTTTACGTCTGTGAATTTTCCCATTGGATTCTCCCCTGCCAACCTCCTGCTGGAATACTATTAAAATAGAATTCACTTAAGCTTACAAATGTATATTTTAACACGGTGATTTTAACCTCCTTTTATCCTTTCACAGAGATTTAACAACGAGATGCAGATAGAAAAGTTCTTACCTTGGCAAGTTACGCAGAATCTGTCAATCAAAGCAGTACCAGCGGCCGGGAGTAGAGTGCACAATTCTGATAGATCCTGAAGGTCTCCACCTGCAGTTTGCTCACTACCTGAGCCCGGGAAAGGGGTGGGCAGGACTTGGAATCTCCACTCTGAAATCTTCTTCCAGATTCCGAATGTGTCAGTCAGCCGGATGGTGTAGTATCCCGCGTCCTGTGACAGTAGGCAGCACTGGGTTATGGCAAGTTTGTATTATATATATATCTTGTACTGAATATTAAAGTTTGGAAAGCCCCTGTCACACATTTACATATTTGTCTTTCCAACGGATAGGATCCAAACATAAGGGGCAAGCCCGGGCATTTTAAAATGTTTCAAAAACATTACGGAGTTCTTTTTGAGGTTCGGTTATTTTAGTCTGGTTTTCAGCTGTTATTCATCAGAACAGCACCCTAACAGTCGGGACTAAAATAGTAGTGTGTTGGTTTTTAAATTTGACTCAAATGTAACTAAAAATAATTTTTATTTGTAGAAAAATATAGGAGTGGCCTGAATCTGGCAATGTTACTCCTAAATTTCAACCACACCATGGTCGGCTGGTTTTCATATGTTTAGAGAAAGTCCTGAATGTGTGACATTGGCTAAAGTCAGTGGACAGAGATTTGTCTACAATAACTTTGTAAGGTGTATCATACCACAAATACTTCAGGTTGAACTCGAAGGGTTGAATCTGAAACCTCGATCACTGAGGCCCAGTTCTCAGCTGCATGTCCTGTCGGATACTCCACCAGGGTGTACTCGATGGTGCCCTGTATTTCTGAAAGTGTGTCCAGGACCAGGGGCAAGGCTGCAAGAGTACTACGTTGGTTGCAGTTCTCTCTGCAGCTATGAAACGGTAAACAGAACAAGTTCCATTGGAATTTGTCGCAAAACTAAGTAAAATTACACAATTCTGACCTAAACATCCTGTGATACTACAATTGTTGCCAAAACACACATGAACCTCATTATATTACGGAGGAGAAAATTGCATTATAAAGATGACAATTTAAGTAACTTAGCACATTGAACTAAATAAAAATTTTACACTCTTTTGATTCACACAATTTTACCCATTGTGCAAAAAATGATAATAATGTACCGCTGAAAAGACTACAAGTTAATGATGATTGACAACATTTTCTAGGTCCTTGTTTGTACCGAAACCTGTGTTTTGTAAATGTATCTTAAATTTGTTATGCAAACAACGCTTATTGAGACAGACAGACAGACAGAGAGAGAGAGCGTGACAACGTCAATATAGTAGAAAGCATTTTTAAAAAAATGAAATTTACGCACTCTAAGTACAACCCCAACAAGCTCTCATCCGGAACGACGTGGATCGTCTGGTACAGGGACGTCTTGGGTAACGATCCAGCCGTGACGTTTACAGTGATGTGGGCAGTGATACCAAGAGGTCTGTCATACGACATCAGACTTGTAGTGAACGTACGTTCGCCGTTTGGGGCAGTTTGGTCAACACAACCAAGCACCATTTCACAGTCTGGGTCTGAAAAAAAAAAAACATTTTACACATTCTGATGGGGGCACTTCTTGCGCAGTAGTGTTAGAACTGAAATGTCTTCTTTCTGTTTCACACACACACACACACACACACACACACACACACACACACACACACACACACACTCTCTCTCTCTCTCTCTCTCTCTCTCTCTCTCTCATACACACACACAATAAACATGCACACACTCACACATACGCGAGTAAAAGTAGAGAACCTTATACACATTAACACATATTTACACAGACACGCACAAACACACATGTACACAAAGACAAGCACGTATCCACACACACGTGGATACAAAAAGGACCATGTCTTAGCTGATAGTAACGCGGCTTCATTCGTGTACACCTCAAATTCACAGAAATTTAGTTTTTGGACTGTGGGCAGTGAGATGCCAGCATACCGGCCCAAGACACCACCAACGACGAGTTCATAGATCAGTTTCCCCGCAACATAGTTTAAGTTTCCGACTATTGGATTGTTGATGAGTACGGGGGTGTTACCGACATGGATGTTGGAGGGACTGAGTCTATCTGAACAGCAGCCGTCTAAACGGTTGTATAAGACAATCCTGTAAAGGTATGATTTCATGGTTTTGAGGAAACAGCACTGTAACCCAACATCACTGGCGTCAGAATGACGTGTTTTAGTAACCGACCACTTATCTTAATTATTCACCACGATAATGCTACGGCCTAATTACTTATAGGAAATGGAGGCTTCTCATTGGTCGACGTCGCTCGCGTATATGATGAAAATCTGTTTTAAATATTGTACACCAATAGAATAGGCTCACCATTGGTACAACAGTATCTATGAATATCACAATAACTTTACGTTTCGGACAATATTGTTAGCTTCCATGCACAGTAAAGCAATCATAATTGACCAAATGAAAATGACAGATATTCATCCAAACGCCGTATATAGTTAAACATATTGTTGTAAATAAAAGGCTCTGCCATTCATGTAATTTAGATTACCTTTCAATGGGATATTGGGTACCCAGGTCAACCATCCACCACGGGTTGGATTCCGATAAAGTGACAATGCATGACCCCGAGTCCCACTGTCCGTTTCCGTGATCCCCGTCGATGGCCCTCTCTGGTACCCCAACATGACCAACGCTACTGGACGTCGCTTTCTTACAGGCAGCAATGTTGATCGTTGAAGTATCAAGCGCTACAAAAGAACAATAATGGCATTGTGTACAGTGGGTATACAATGTACGTAATCCAATCAGCAGCCTTCACAAAACGTAAGAATTCTGTCAGCACTGCATGTTCCTAGTTCACCATTGGCTTGCAAGCCCGGCAACAATTGTGTTTGGCAGTAGTTCATTTTGTATGATTTAAATTTTTGTTTCATTTTTGTTTCCCGAGATGATAGAAGTAATATGAGAAATCTGAAAATATAGTATTATTAAAATAGCATGATTACAGTATTGTAAGTTCTCTAATATACGTACAGATGTGTTTATACCTTACACGGCGGTCGGTTGCTAGGCTAAAGTCGCATTACTAGGGAGGTATCGGGTTACAGAACGTGTTCGAACGTGGCCGCGCGGGAGTCCCGGGCCGGCCCGGGGGCAACGGTTAAAATTTGAAAATAAACAAAAGTAATTGGAGAGTAAATACTCGTCAAAATAATGTAATAAGTGATTTTGTTTACCTCAAATGTTATTCTTGCACTGCCTTTTGC